TTCCTTCCTTCCTTCCTTCCTTCCTTCCTTCCTTCCTTCCTTCCTTCCTTCCTTCCTTCCTCTCCTCCTCCTCCTCCTAGCTTTCTAAAGCTGAGGTGCCCCTTTAAAAGGCTTATGTATTTGTTTCCTTTATCTCTGGCTGCTCTAGAGTTGCCACTTACATCTTTTTTTTTTTTAAAGAATCATGTGTCTTGATTTTATGAATATTTTGTTTCAAATAATCTTAAGGATCTCTTTTAGTGAAGATGAGTTCTAAATCTTCTAATCCATAAAAAAAGCAAAGAAGCTAGATCACTTGATAGCTACTTGGGAAGAGATGGAGAATTTTTTTTTTTTTTGGCTGAGCTCCCCTGAGATGCTACTTAGACTCCCAACATGTCTGTAGGAAAGAGGAAATCATTTACCTTGAGATTCCTTTAATGATAAAGACCTTATTGGAGTGTTGGTTCTCCAACTTGCTCATTACATCATACAAGTCATGGTTTAGCTAGAAACAGCAAGAATTAGGAAAAACAAATGTCATATCCAACAATCACAAGGACACATAATCATAATTGTCATCACCATTAACTTCATCATCACCATCCATTATTACTACAGTTGTCACTCATTTGACTTATTAAATCTGTTACCTAAATTCATTCTTGATGAGGGTTTCAAAGTGTCACTAGCTGAATAATATCTCTTCTTTCTCCTAGTGAAAATGGGACATGTGGCTCAACAATTGAAATCTCAATTTCTGCATGATATATAAAAATCACATCTTTCTACTTTTTACAGGGCTTAGCAGGACATGGCTAACCTGCAGATATTCCCACTTGGAGGGAAAAGGCAATAATGTGAAGGAAAGACTTGGGCAATTCTGCTGTAGAAGAATCCATGGTTTCATGGTTTTTCTGGGCCCAGGCAGAGGCTGTTTCCTTGCAAGACTTTCATTGACCAGCTGCTGTGCACCATGCACAGCATTTTACAGGGTGCTGGTGGTGATCCCTAGGGTGTTATCTCCCAACTGTAACCCTACTGTGCCTTCACACTGTTTATTGTCTATATCCGTTTGGAATGTGGAAGAGTTGCCTAGTGTCTTTTGATTGGTAGATCTAGCCTCTCTGCTTTGAGAACCACCCTCAGTCAGAGGGAGAAAATGGGTTCTGTCTAGGTGTCCAGCGCTACTCCTGATCTTGAAAAGTTGAGCAAGGTCAGATCTAATGGATATTTGGATGGGAGACTACCAGAAAATCACAGGACCATAGTTAGATTGGGAAGTTGAATCATCCCAGAACCACTACCCCAAGCAAACAAATCAATTCCATGTTTTACCTACATGGATGCATTCTGGAAGTCACTAAAAGTTGAGCTTCACTCAAGGACATTTCTACCTTTAATCAATGGAACAGCCTGCACAAGCTAGTCATTCCCATATCCATTCAACAGCTGAAGCAAATAGTATGAGGAATGGGCCTTTACCTACGCAGGCAGCAGAAAGCTTGAATAGTTCATCCTGTATTTGTTATTTGCAGGAAATTTACAAAATTAAACAATTGGTGTTTGGGGGTGCGTGTGTAGAATTGTGGGTAATTCTGACCAGATCTCATATGTCATTTTTTATTTTTATTTTTTTTTGGCACAGGATAAACAATGCCTTAGTTATGAAATGAAAAAACAAAGTCAAGGTGCTCCAACCTTTCACAAATAGATAAGGATACCATTTGGTCTCGATCTGGCTCTGTCCTGGTTTTTAGCCATGTAAACGACAACAATTGCTTTCAGGTTTGCTGGTTTGCACATGCATAATCTAACGACATGCAGCAGCCACCTTCTCTACTGCTAAGGAAAGATTTCCATTTGCTCGCACAGCATGCCAAGCGCTGTCCAAATGAAATAGAACTAACACTTCCCCTGTCCAGCACACTCAGATACGTGTGAAATCATTTTTGCAGAAATTCTAAATGAACAAGAGTGGGAAAAAGACAGGAGTCTCTTCTTAATAAGCTGTATGTTTGCTACCGCTGCAGATTTACCTTACTCATTTCCTTGTAGAAGATATCTCTCAGATTGGAAATATTCTGGAATATTGTCACATAGCATGCAATTCGACTAGGGAAGAATGAAGACGAAATAAATAAATGTTAAGTCAGCTGAGCAACACAATAAGGAAAAACAATAGAAGATTTGGGAGCCAAACTACGTATTACAGCAAGAAAACAGGAATTGCACCTCGTCAGAGTATAGATAAACCACTGCCAATTTGGCAGCCCACCCCCTCTCCCACCTTTCAGTTAGAAAACTAGCACATTTCAATGACCGTTAGGCTAGAATATTTTACCCCAACGTGTTAGCTTTCTGGGTGAATGGAGCTCCTCATTCTCATGGGAGATTGTATAAACACATAATTCTCTACCTAAAATGTTGCACCCCAGAATAGCTGCATTTGTGATTCTGCTACTTCTTGCAAACTGCTTTGAGAATTAGTCCAGACGGTGAGATCAGCCGCAGGAGAGTACCAGAAAGTGTACCGTTTCAGACAGGAATGTTGGATTTTGGAAAGCCCCTCTTCCCAACCTCCTTCTCTGGGGAATCCAGAAAGGGCGTCCTGTTGGACTTAGCCTAGATTTCTATGTGAGGGGCTGGTTGGTTTTGTGCAAGGATTTTTTCCCCCCCTCACGCAGGGAGCACTCCAGTAAGCAAGTTTTCAGGTGCTCTTGTTTAAGGAAATTATGCAGGAGAATGTCCTTAAACAACTGCATAAATCCTACAGATCAAAGTTCTTAATTAAGATTAGCGGTCATTCGAATTTCTTCAAGAAATAACAGAAGCATATATGGTGATAAAAAGTGTTCCAGACTTAGGATACTGTCAAAAGAGACCATGCAGCTGGAGAAGAAGAGCAGGAAGGAAAAAAAAACCTAGGAACATTACAAAGAGAGGACCATAATATTTAGTCCCCATAAAATTGAATGAGCAAGGCGGGGAAATAGCACGATGAAAGGCACATTGGGAAGCCCCTTGAAATGAATCCTAAAGGAAAGAAATATACTCTGGCATCCTTCAAACATTAAAGCAAGTATTCAGCATGTGCTAAACCAAAACCAAACATAATGTTCTAATGGGGTGGGATGTGAGGCCAGCTAATGGGTTTATAAGCCATTATTTATGGCTTAGGATGCTGTAGTATATTCAATAATTCATGGTTAGCAAATGATGGTTTAACACAAGATACAAACTCTGTGTTTGCATCAATACATATCAGATGCAAAGAGGATTTGACCCAAGAAGAAGTCCGTTCCCCTTTCTGTTTCTATGAATACCTCTTTTGTAGAGGGCATTTGGAACGATTGAAACCACGCTAGCTGGGCATATTCAGATCCTACACAGAACCTGGCTGAGCCCCAGTCTCAGCTGCTGATATTCAGACAACCCAGTTTCCGTGCCCTGGCAGACTACTTTAGTTAAATTCACTGGAAGACATAAGACCAGCATAATGATACTGGCACTAATACACCTGTTAGGAAGAAATGCATGGATAAAATAATGATTGTTGTGGTGGGCGGGGGGGACATCTCCATACAGGAAAGCCATGAAGATTACTTCTAAGCCAATATGATCAAGTAAAGAAAAGGGAAATGTCACAAGAATATTGATATGCAATGAACAAAGCTTAAAGTGAGAGTGTGTGACCATTTGGGGACCGGGGCCCACTCATAAGAGTTTTGAGGGGATTGAGTATTCCACGGGTGGAATGATGATGTTGTGCCATGGGCTGTGAGAATAACCTTGAGGAAAAAGAAGAAGAGCCGCAACCAAGACACCAGTCAGATAAAAGAAATCTGAGTCCAAAGCAAAAATGTAATTTGAGAAAAGTCTCAGACCTGACCCTCCCTGGTTCTCTTTAGGATAAAGGCAGGGAGAGGGGAGGCACTTTCAGACTTGTAAGATTCTGTTACTTTAACCTTATAATCAAAGTAATTTTAGTATACCTAACTTTGGTTTCCAAGTCTGGTCTACCTCGAAGGGTTGATGTGTTGTATCAGCAGGGCAATGAAGCAATGTGGGCAGAATTGCATCATTCCCATGAGATTTTACATTCTTTCTTGGTTTGGGAGAGGTCCTTTTGTTCTTCATCTGTTAAGCTTGTTCTAGGGATGGCATAACAGTTTCTATGGCTGTGTTCGCACAACACACTTAACTGGGTCAGGCAAAGACCAGCTAGTTGCATTTGCTCTGTGTACAGAGCTGGACGAAAGTTCTTTGTGGTTTAGCCCCACTCCATTAGTTACCATTCATTCATTCATTCATTCATTCATTTGATAAGGCTGTCCAACTCCACAAAGAGTCTGGGTGGCAAAATATCAGATATATATTTTGTTCATAATGGGCTAATTCAGGACCCCGGTTGTGTGCTTTGTGAATGTCACTGTTGTGTTTTTCCCCTAAAAAATGTCTGGAAACCATAACGTTTTACAACACTTTGGTGAGGTTACGTTAGGCTGGCCCATCCAACTTTGAGGCTGCATGGAAATCTGAACTGGTATCTGGCACCTAGACTTGATTTAAGTCTGACACCTGAACCGATGCCTCCTACTGGCTCTCAGAATATGAAACTTTAACCTGATGAGCCACAATATTGATTGCGGGTGGGAAGAGGCAACAGAGTGATCAATAAGGTGACATCAGGCATTTCAGGAACTTGGTGTTACAGAAAAGAGGGGTAAACTGGAGAATTTGTGTTGTGTTGTCTTCTTTTTTCTTCTACAAGCCATTAGCTAGTTTGGGTCTAAATCACCCTTTACAAAGAAGCCAATAGTCACTTTCCTGGATTTTGCTGCCATCCTGTGGCCACCAGACCTCAGTACATTCCCAGCACCATTGGAGAAAACTACAAACCCCAACTCATACATAGACCATAACAGGCTTTCATAGCAGAGTCCTGAGAGAACTCACTTATTCTCTGCATTTATTCTGCTGCCTGCATTTTTCTGTCTGAACCAGTGTTTCTCAACCTTGGCGACTTGAAGATGTGTGGACTGGCTGGGGAATGGACATGGCTGGCTGGGGAATTCTGGGAGTTGAAGTCCACACATCTTCAAGTCGCCAAGGTTGAGAAACACTGGTCTGAACAATCGTTGAAGTCCACACATCTTCAAGTCGCCAAGGTTGAGAAACACTGGTCTGAACAATCGTTGAAGTCCACACATCTTCAAGTCGCCAAGGTTGAGAAACACTGGTCTGAACAATCGTTGAAGTCCACACATCTTCAAGTCGCCAAGGTTGAGAAACACTGGTCTGAACAATCTTTTGGACTCTCTGAAGGGTTAAGCAGTAGCAGCCACTCAGAAACCAGGGGAGGAGTTGAAAAAGTAGACCAGGATGACCAGGCAGAAGTAGTGCAAATACAGACTTTCGACTACAGCCTGAGTGGTCTCCTATGATCCCCTTTAGAAGGCCATGTTCACCACCTTGACTGGCAAGTACCTAAGTAATATTTTTCTTTCCCACCCTAACTGCTATTTTATACTTTAGAACAGCTTCTACATTCTATGGCTAAATATATTCCATCTGGGAAACTGGTACAGAAAAGATAGAACATTCTTAAAGAAAAGATAATAATACGAGCATCCATAACCCTGCATGTGCTCCCACGGTTATAACATATTTTAAAAATAAGTTGCCTGGGGAGCTGAGTTGAAGCATGGAGGCAAATTCTGTATATACTGGAAGATGCTCTCCTGTTGCTTTCTAAGGTTCAAAGTTAGCCTTGACTCTAAAAAATGTCTTCCATTCATCAAGAGATTTTTTTTTTTACTAAGTGGCGTCTTAATTATGCTGTAATGTTTTTATATCTCCACCTCTCCTTCCCCAGCTGCTTGTCTCATAGTCAGTAAGCCCATTCCCAGAACTGAACACTGACAACAACTCTTTTTGTTGTCCATGGGAATATTTGACCCCTGGCTCATAAACCTGATTCTTCCTGTGAGAGGTGTGCCAAGAGCTGGAAGTTTTCAGGGTAGAGATGTCAGTTATGTCAACAACCAACAATAACTTGGCTTCAGGAAGATGAAACACAGGGCAAAGAGTCATTTGAACATGAGAAAAGTTGGAAGCAGCAGCAATGGCTTTGAACTGCCATAGGTGTAAGTGGGAACTGTATTCTCATTTTGACAGAGGGCAGTCTACACCTTGATATGGTTTCAGTCAAGTCGGTAATAGAGATTCTTATCTGCCCTGCTGGTTAAATGTCCAGCAGACTTCTCCCAAGTTTGAATTTAACAGCCTAGTTAAGCTGTGTAAAGTCAGGACTCGGAGGTTTGCAGCCCAGTTCTAATCTGAGGGGCCTGGCGCCATCAACTGCATTCCCTCTGCAGTTGCCACTGGATCTTTAGCCTGCCTTACCTGTTGTAAAGGTCTGGCAGTTCTTCTCTCAGTTCTTTGTTGAGTTCCTCAAAGACAGCTTGGGCTTTATAGAACTCCTCTTCAGCCTGCAGGATCCAAAGATTTATTAGAGGAACAGAAACTGCAGACTGGCAAGCCTGCCAAGCACAAAGGCTCCTAACGCAGATTCTGATTACACGGTCTTTGGCAGAGATGCCTCACCTTTTTCAGACTGGAGGTTGCTCTCCAAGAAATAGGCCGAGCCAGGAAAAGTAAGTGGGTGGGCCAGGTAAAAAACTAAGTTTAATTTCACTTAATTCCCTTAAATATACTGGTAATTAAAATTCAATTGAATCAATTCAACAGAATGACAGTTAAGTCTACTTCTTAAGTTTTCCCTTCTGTCATGGGAAAAAAATACAATCTAACGGTAACCTTTTGTAGGGGCCCTGAGGGCCACCCACATCCAAGATGTGGGAGTGGCTGTAGCTGGGCAGCCTCATGTTGTATCTTTCTGCTACATGCTCTTTACACAAATAGTTAACTAGGTGCAAGCCTGTCTATGATTGTTGACATTCTGCAAGGTTCCTTTGGAAGAAAGGCAAAGAAAAGCAGAGGGGTTTGTAAAGCCCCTGGGCTGCCTTTCCCCATCCTGCTATTTTTCCATACCAGCCTTTTTTAAGCTGATGCTTTTCAGATGTGTTGGAACTGTAACTCCCTTTCACCACATGAGCTGGGAGTTCTGGACATGGCAGTTGCAACACCCATGGAAGAGATCAGCTGGAGAAAGACTGATCTCTACTCATCTTTCCTTCAGCACTTCATTTTTTCTGGTTTCCCTTTTCCAAAATGTAGGGAAAACTGATCACTAGAACAGTGTTTCTCAACCTCAGCAACTTTAAGACAGATGGTCTTCAACTCCCAGAATTCCCCAGCCTGCTTGAGATCCACACATCTTAAAACTGCTGAGGTTGAGAAACCCTGCTCTAGAGAAGAAATAAAAGGCAGAAGTTCCATATTCCCCATGGCTTGTCACGAGAGAGGAGCCTCCTGGATTTTCTTAATCTGGTTTACATGTTGCTTTTTTTCTCCACAGGCTTCAGAGGGAAGCAGGAGCAGCCCTTCTCCATCTGTTGTTTATTTCTGCTTGTCATATTGCTCCTTTAGCAGTTGATTGCCTCTGCTTTTCCTCTCTGAAAATTGAAGGGACAATTCCTGACAAAAGAAGCAGTAAGGCAAGGAGAATTTGTTTTAAAAAAGCAGAGGAAAGCAGCTGATTGTTCCCATTTCCCTGTGGGTTTATTTGCTATTTCTCTGGCCTTGTCTGCCTACTCTCTTTGCAGTTTTTGCAAATGGGGAAAGAGATAGTCCAGGATCTTAGTGTTTCAAAGAAAAGAGCCAGAAAGAAATTAGCTTGGCTCGTCAGGGGATCACAAAGCTCCTTTAGAACTGGCACAGAGTCTTTTGGTGTAAATGTCTGTAATATAGGAACGCCCATCTGCCACCTCATGAGCTGAAATCCCAAAATGGATCAGGTCAAAATCTTTTTGGAGGAGGTTCAGGTGTGGAATAGATGTCTGTCCATTTTTCTACTTAAACCCCTCCATGAAATTCCCCCAGTGCAAAACCAAAAAAAGTCTAACATGTTTGGCTCTACCCACTGGAGGAATCTGGGGGCCACAATGGCTTCAATGCCACACTTTTTGCCTCAGAACTAAGATCTCCTCCACCATCCAGATTCCTCCAATTTACTGATCCTAAGCAAGGTGACCTGAGATGGAAGCTGAAATGTCTGAACAGAGACCCTTTGATCTGCATCTAATTGGATTCTCCAGGAGGTGTTTCTACCTTAGCAATTTTAGCTTCATCTTTCTTTTTGGCATTCTGAAGGGTTTCCAAGTGATGCCTGCTGATGTCATAATCCACCAGTTTCCGCCCTCTCTTAGCAATTCGCTCCTATAAAGGAAGAGAACAAACACATCAAAGGTCATCTAAAGACAATAGTCTTCTTTGTGTACTGTTTTAAAAGAATCTCTGAATAGCCCTTGTGAATCTGATCTGCAAATTAATCAATCTGCAAGGCACCATTCAGAATGTGGGAGAAGAGCAAGGCATTGATCAGGATTCCTTTGCACAAGTTCTTGTAGGATTATCTAGAGAATCCCTGCTGAATGTTCCTTCAATGGGTGGGGTCAAATTCTGGAGAGAACCTTTTTGGCTGCATCTTCAGTGTTACAAATCCCCCTCAACAAATATGTAAAAACTAAAACTCTAAACTACCTCCTCTCTGCCTGCTCAGTTTGAGCTTCTAGATTTTCTGGTAGATTTTTCGTTGCAACTCATGTTATCATTGGATTCTGGAATGCTGGTCATTATAGTTCAGAATTTGTGATGGTAGCGATGGTGGTGTATTGACATTGCAAAAATGTAGGTATCCCATATATTTTTATAGTCAGTCATTTGATTTCAGTCATTGACCATAACAAAAGAGTCACATTTAACTTGTTGAATATCAGTATAATCTATACAGCACAGAAAGGCTAGAGTAAAACAAGCTATAAAATAACAATACAGGTAAAATTGTAAGTTTAAGTTCAAGAACTGTTGACATAAAATTAATATATAGTAAGATATTATACAATTTATATAAGGCAATTACATGATCATTTAGAATATATTTTTATAAATATTAATTGATGTCAATGGTGGTCAGAGTTTTGGACCTAAACTAGATGTATCAGGACTTAGCTTGTTCTTCTCTCACTGACCCTGAAGACCATCTTCCCTTCCCCCAAAGGCTCATTGCAGAGCAAAGATTTCCCCAACCTGGTGCTTTCCTGATGTGTTCCTCCAGCCAACTTGGAATTTATGTGGGTCCAACACATCTGGAGAGTACCAGGTTAGCAAAGAATTATAGGTCTTCATCTACTGATTTCTAAGCTGTTTAGAAATAAATACTACAACAGAAACTTAAAGAAATAAAGTGGCAGAGAATACTAAACAGGAAATATAAAAAATATGTTGTCAGGATGGGGAGAAACTTTGCCATATATATTTTTTAAAAACCACAGTTTTTTAATAAAAGAAAAAGAAGTGTGTGAGTGTGCATGTGAACACACATAAATGCATAAAAAAAGCAAAAGTAAGATTCAAGAATGAACTGGTCCTTCTTGAGAGATATGTGACATTTTTTTTCCAAAAGAAGTTATATGAAGATAAGGCCAAAATGGATTCCTTGCAAAAAAGATTGCTTATATGTAAACTATAAACATTTTAACAGGAAAAACTGAACTTCTTGGCATTGTATTTTGTCCTAGATAGTGCATACCCAACTCCAGAAGTACGTACTTTAATTTCATTGAATTGACTCAAGTAGTTGTCCATGGTCCTGATTGCTTGGTCTGCCAACTTCTCCTCATAATCTTCCCACAGAAGATCATTGCTCTGTAATGAAAGAGAGAGATTTTTCAAAATGCTATGGAAATAACCCCCACGCGGTCATCCTTTTTTCCCCCCAGAAGGTTACAGGGTCAGTCTAAAAAGAAAAATATAAATGTTTCATATAGAGACTGGGAATGAACAAGAGGAATTGCTTTGCTTTCCTCCCGTGGACCATTTTATTTTGCTGGGGTTTTTAGAATTGAGCAGCAGAACAAGCATCATTCAAAAGTAAGAGAAAAGAATGGTTAGTGCCATTTAAAACTGAAATATGGGATATACCCTAAATATATACAAGGATATTGAAGAACACTGGAAAATTAAGAATTGAGGTTCAAGTCCTAAGAGCTGGTTTCTTGTAATAGCTACAGCTAGGAACTAGTTCAGATCTAATGTTTCAGTTTAAAAAGTCACAACCTTGATACCTGGAATATATCATAATTACCTGAACTATGGCCTTCAATTCTTCATGTCCTTCCCACTCATCACTGTAAATTTCTTGCAGTGTCTCAGACACTTTCTTGGAACTTTCATGCATTCCTAGAAAAGGCAAAGTAGGTGACAGGAAAAGTCACTATTAACCTAAGTGAGCATGTTCTCTGAATCAGTGGCTATATTTGCATATTACACTAAGCCATGTTTTAACCATGGTTTGATGAATAACCACAACTGACTAGGCTCACCTAAACCACAAACAACAGTTTACAAACTATACTGTTTGGATTCACGCAACACACTAACTAAATCAAAATAAGCTTTGTTATGGCAGAGCATGACAAGTGAACTGGAAAATGACTAGAAATCTTTGCTCTTTAATGATCCTCATTAGGTTTGGTTTAGTTTAGTTTATTATTATTGATTAGCCATTAGGCCATATTAAGATAGATCCTCATTAGGTCAAGTTGTTTGCATCATCACATCTTATACATCCTGGTTTTAAATCAAGTTGCTGGAATCTCAGCTCTTTGGGGAAGTTTGGATTGCATGATGAAATCAATCTCCCTATTAAGTATAATAAAAATGTGAAAGAAATGCATTCTGGGGCAACAGGTAGAGCCTCCTAACTTCCTGTATCTGTTAAGAGAACAAATTGTGAGATAAATGTCCATCAATTGGGGTTAATGGTGTTGTCTCAGAGAATGACCAGAGTGCTATGGTGGCTATCTTGTTAGAGGCAGATCGTAGGGAACCACCTCAGAGTCCTTTCCAGCAAGGAAACTTCATGGGTAATTTCTTCACAGGGGTTTTGTGTAAGGATTAAGAGCCAAAGAGACCACATATGCTGCCAAGAAGCTCCTTGAAGGACAGACTGGATTTTTAATGGAATTAACAAAGGCTCAGAGACAAAAGGCAAGCTTTCATTTATTTCTAACAAAGTCTCATCAGATAACTGAAGAGATGGGAAAACAGAGGAGTCTTGCATTTAAGATCTGATACCAGATGACTTAACTTGGAAAATATGCCATTCTAGGATTTGGGCTTTCTGTACCTTTCACAGCAGTGAGGAAAGCCTTCAGTTCTTTGTAGAGTTTTTGCCCTTCAATCTGGGGGGGAAACGAAAGGCAGATTGTACTTCTAGTATATTTCTGCATGTCATTCCTATTAGAATATTGTTCCTGGACCTTGGGCATTCCCAAGTCCGCAAAGCTCAACTCTCAGAATTCCCCACTCAGCATGGCCAGTCTGGGCACTGAAGGCTATACATCTGGAAGTCGCCAAGTTTGGGAAACATTGCATTAGAGTTTTATCACCACAACCCATCCCCCAGTGTTCTGACAATTCAGGAACTTGCAGAGAAAAGGTCTGTGCCAAATACATTTTATTACTATAAATGTGTCATCCAACAGGTTTATAGACATAGCATCATCAGAATCTTTCACAGCAGCCTAGTCGGGTGGAGCTTGTATAAAAAGTTTGAGAGTCTTAAACAAAACCTGGCATAGAGGTCTTTCAGATTCTGGCATGCCAGAAAAGCTTGGAAAACCTGTCCCAGACTTGTACATGTCACCTTCCCGCCATCCCCAAATTTCCAGAAAGCAAGTCGCTCCCACGATTCCATCATACAACCTGCTGCTGCTGGAAATTATAGGCACTTTGTTCAAATTGCTCATCTTTTGTTTCCACAGTTTTCCCCAGTTTCTGTAGAACCTGTGGAAGAGACAGGGAGAGAAAGAACAGCTGCAGCAGTCACATATACAGCCCTTTGCATATACAGTGAGTCGAAGGCGGCCTTATTTTAGAGATGAGCATCTATGGCGTGACTGGTGCATTTGTTTCCATGAATGGCCCTGCAGTGAAAGAAATGTGTCATCCAGTTCTTCGGCTTCCAGCAAAAACCCCCTCAGTCATTAGACTTTTCATGAGAAAGAGTGGAGAAGGGCCTGCTGCCCCCCACACGTTGGGATAACAATTCAGAGAGAGAGGAACACACATGGACTCTCCAGTAACTTGAAACCCAACAGGAACCCTGTATAGGCCTTCTAAATCTACCATATTGTAGAGATGGCAGAGTCTCTTTCTTAAGGGTACTAGATTTGGGCTGAAACCCCAGCTGACCAGGACAGATATAGAGGTGCAGAAGCTGCCAGGTCTCTGCCACCTACCACATGGAGGATGTGATAGGAAGCAGGGCATCAGTAGGCACAGTCCTGCCCTTTCTCGGTTTCTCCGTGCAGCCTTCATAATATACAGATTACGAACTAAAAGAGAGATTAGCACCACCAATTAAAAAAAAAAAAAGTAAAATGAACTGATCCTTGTTGTTAAATCATATGGATAGGCCTATAAAATCCAAAGAGTGTTATCCCAGGTATATTTCACTGGGATATTATTTATTTATTTATTTTAGTTATTTGCTGGATTTCTCCCCCGCCCATCTCCCCCCAATGGGGGACTCTGGGCGACTTACAAAAAACAT